ATTCAAGCTGCGCACTATAGCCAGCTTACTGCGCATCGTCGGCAGCATGAACGCAAGACGGAACTGCTTGCGAGTCCCTAAGAATTGGAGCCGAGTGACTGGCTGCCCGTCGGTCGTTGGGTGCCATCACCTTTCTCATCTCGGCAGTAAAAGTGAGCTCCCTACACAGTTGAGCAGAGTTGGGGAGAAAATGGAAAGAAGCCGCCACCACGCCGTTGCATTTGGATGCTTGGACGACCCATTCAATAAGCAGGAGGGTGTGCAGATGCAGCATGTGGACGGACTCTCTGTCGGCTCGGGCAGCGCTGAAGCATCAGAAGTCCTGTGCGGCTGCACCATCCATCCTGCATCTGAGAGTTCTGCGGGCGGGCAACTCTGGCTGGTGGAAAATACTCTGCCGGTAATTAACACTGTGCCAAAAAGCCGCTAGCGTTACAGGTGCGTTGAATCCTCTCGTAACTTACCGGAGCGGTCGCCGGACGCTTGCCGAAGCCGAATAACACCCCGCATTGGCTCCAGGCCGCCTTTCGCTTGTTCACAAGGGTTTTGGTTCACAGGCTGGAGACCCAGGCTCCGCATCTCGGAGGAGAAACCGAAGTTTCTATGATCTTTCGCCGAGCGACGTTGTAGATGCCAACACTAATACTACACGGACGGGACCTGCGGTTAATACTACGTATCCTATTTGCGCGCCTGTACGCACACGCGCGCACACTCTATGCTTGCTGCTGATGAGGACGAGGCTGATCTGACTCTGACCGCAGATGGTTCGGGATCTCGGTGAGCAAGCTCCACTGGGAGGGCACCCCCAAACCTTGATTGGGCATGGTCTTGGCACTGCTCTCTGCTTGTTGACCTCACCGATGAGCTCCGGACAAAGTTGTTGGCTTTGCTATTTTGCTCCGGATTAAGATCACATGTGGAGTGTGCTGGAGTAACTGGAGCAGCGGCAAACGAAGGACCCCGTTGTTTGATGTCCACAGCTTCCAAAGTCTGTGAGCTAGTCAACCAGTCAGAATTGTCGCTGTACTGGTTGCAGCTTTCGTCAAGCAACAAACTCGACCAAGGAGGCGGCCAAGAGCGGCCAATGCCTGCAGCTTCCGGCTTCCGAAGCCTCCACCCGAGCTGCCCTTGTGTTGCCGACTTCCGGCGGCTTGTTTGGGAAGACCCGAGAAAGGCGAGAAAGGACGCAAGACACTTTGTCGAGAGCATGCAAGAGAATTCCACACATGTTTGCTGCAATCGCACGTGCTCCTAAGGAAGCTTAAGCTTAAGCTATGGAGGCCGGCTGAATGCTCACATGTTTGACGATGATCTTTTGCCGGGGTTCTTTCCTTGGCTAGTAGCGGTTCCGGAGATGCGGGATCTTGCTCAAAGGGGGGTGAGAGCGCATGGCGATTGCAGACATTGGGTAGTTGCCCCGGTTGGTTCTGTTTGTAGGGTCTGGGAACAGCCGGCCAAGGCAGCAGAAACGGAGCTGGTGCTGACGCTTGCTACACTGCTTCAGAGCCAAATACGGATCCCCTGCCTGTACAAGAACGAATGACCTCAACGGTATGCCTATACGTATTCAGCGTATGCTGAATGCTACTCTCCATGTCGATAGGTAGCTACGACACCGACCGCCATGTCATGGTAGCAGTGACGAGGCACCAGGCTTGGGGGCAGTTGCAAAGCTTGTTGCGACATCATCAAATCAGAAGAGCAGTTAGCCGAGAGAGCGGCGGAAGATCCGGGACAGCTATGCCGAACCCAACGATGAGAAGCTCTGTTTCAGTCATACGACCCTATGATGCGACCCGGCGTTCACTCGCCACGTCCAATCCTACATTTTGTGAACCACGTCGCGGGCAGTCGTCGTCACTTGTTGTCGGTCACTTGCGCAAACATGGTTTGGCTGCTGCGGGCATTGTGGACAGGATGCGCCTGAAATGTGTCGACAGTTCGACGATTCATGATGTTGCCAAAACTGCAACTGACCATCAATCGGACGAACAGCCGCTTGCGTGTCTCGAAGGCTTGTCAACTCGGGGAGAAGCAGCACATCCTCAACGCCACACATGCATTGGGAACAAGGGCGAGGTGCAAGCCGCAGGTAAGCAGAAAATACACCAGCACAGTCGTGCCGCCGCGCTGGCTCCATGATCCGGAACCATATCTTCGCTTGAGTTCGAACGCCCCACTTTCTGGCCCTCTTCCATCATCAATTTTCATCCCCATCACCCCTGATCACTTCAGTCCTAACGAGCCAGTCGGACTCATCGTGTTCTGTCACCTTGTCATTGTTGATTGTGACGAGCGATCTGAGGAACCAACTGTCATACCAGGCTGGGAAGGCAAGAGAGATAAGGTGTTGATGTCACCACACCTTATTTTTCGACCGATGACCTCCCTCTTTCTCGGGGGGCTCGGGGGGCTGAGTCCACGGCTGGAACCGAAGCAAAATGACATGAACTTTGGATCAACCGGGTCCAGGGTCCTTCATCAGTGGCCCGAAACACCATGTCCTACTGGGAGGGCAGCCCTGCGCTTCGGAAATCGTGCTCGTTGTAGAGTCCTCGCACAAGGATTGATCAGAGGGGGTACGTACATTCGTACCGTAATCTGTTTCACGCACAGTGCGTACGGATTACAAAATCCGGAAACCTACCTGCCGGTGGCTGTACGTACATACCTCCACATTCCGTAACGGTAAGCGATAATTTCATGGTCTTTACAGGAGTGCACATGTGACTGATGATTGTGAGCCAGCCTTACAGATATGCTCAGAGAATAGGGCCTGAACGTGTCTTCAAGTTGTCGATAGATTCCATGCTCGCCACCTATGCTGTGTACAGCCAGCGTCGGTGTGTATCATCGGTCAGGTTTCAGTTGTCCACAAATCATCAGTCTCTGCTCTTCGCCCAGTGTAAGAGCACCGAAGGAAAGGCAACAGTTGGAGGTGAACTTGTGTTAGGCAGGCGCAGCGTCCCCGCTAACACATAGTGCGGTAGGCGCAACACGCTACAGAGCACACTAGTGATGACTTGTTCATATTGTTCTCGATACATCCAGGCCACTTTCGGTAAGCAAGTCCTGGGCATCAAGTTCCTCTCTCTTATAGCTACGGGTTATTATGCACAAGAGACAACTTGGTGATTCTGTTCTTTTGAAGTTTAACTAATCATTGACGAAATTCCATCCGTACAAGCGGCGACACATAGCACTGGGGAGAACGAAAATTATGCATGTAGCCATGATTGTATATGCAAAGTCGGTATGGAGGTCTGACTTTCGGCTTTCTTTTTCTGAGCTTCCTCGCCACCGGCTACTGCAGCAGCTGCAGCAGCAGCATCAACCTATCAAGTTCTGACGGCCATAAGCGACCGTTTTCCTCCTGAGGCGGCTACTTTTGCGCACGCCGTGCCGCGCCGCGTGCTTTTCGCCGAACCAGGCAGTCCAGCAGCCACGGGCGATCCGGCAGATACAAACTGTGCGAAGCACTGCAAGGACAAGCACGGTATTCAACTGTACATATCCATAAGGCAACACCTGAGAGAACAAGTCTGCTAGGTACATCAACAGACACACTGGTATTAGTAGCTTGCGACCTCCCTCGAGAAAAGCCACTGCTTGACTCGGTGAAGATATACGTATCTTCGGTGTTGTATGTATGTATCCCGAAAAAAAACGTAAGATTGTCTGCTGCTGCCCGGTTCGGATTAACAGACGGCGCAGTTACTGTGCTGACAGGACCCGAATTCTTGCCATGCAACGTCGGAGCCGCGGAATCTGCAGAGACGGCAGGATGAGAACCAGGACATCAGACGGGTCGCGGATCAGGAGCGGCATTGAGGTTGCACGGCGTTGCAGCACAGTCAAAAGACCTCCCACGCTGGGACTTTTGAGCACGGGGGGCTCTGGAGAAATCGTCCGCTGTGACTGGGGCGGTTTTGAAGCCGCCTATGCAGTGTGGTTTTATGGTCGTATTGTGGGAACCCAGGAGGGAAACGCCGTCAGTCGAGTTGTCATACGGCGAGTCAATTGCCCTTTCCTCTGTCCCTGCCATTGACCGTAGTTTTGGCCTTCTTGCCTACAGATTGCCTGAACAAGTTCCTACAAGAGAACTCTCTCTGAGGCCGGACATGGGAGACGTGCGACGAATCGGACGACAGAGAGCTGCTGCAGGATAGAAGCAAAAGGACTTACATACAGACACAGGCACAAATACTTACACAAGGCGGGCCGAGACTGTGGGCTGCACGTAATCTTCCAGGCTGCCAGTATCTGACCAAGTGCCCCCAACTTATTGACTCGCAACTGCAAATGCGCAGAGCAGAGGCAAGGTATTCAGCATCAATTCCGCGAATCGATGACTTTTTTTCCAATTAAAAAACGCCTTGAAACAGGCCAGTCCACGTCTCGGAAGCTGAAGGACAAGTTGAATCCCATGGAGTGGGCAGCCAGTAAGTCCCAAAAAAGTCGGCAAACCCTCATGGACCCTGGTTGACATTTACATCCACACCCACCCCGGCAGGCTAGCACCCCCCTTCCTGGACCTCACCCCCTCCTGGCCTTCCCCCCTGGATCTCCTTCGGCAAACCTTCCCCACCCCCCTCCCCAAAATATTTCCCCGTTTGCGAGTTCCCCAGAGCCCGCTCTATTGGGGACAGTGTGGATCCCATCCCGAATCAGGTGCGCGGCCCAGGCGTGCGGCCAGTTGGGCCTTCCCCCGGGGGGGGGGGGAGGGAAGGCACAGGGCTCCAGGCCTGCCGGTCCTTCTTAAAGCAGACGAGTACAATGAGCGCCGCTCCATCGTCTTATCCTTCGTCATATCTTCTGAGTCCGAATCCGAGTCCGTGGTCCCTCCCATCACAACACCCACGACCACGACCGACGACAACGCTCACACGCACGCCGGCAGCTCCAACACGAACACTTGAACAATCGCCGTTGCCGCTATCGCCGCCCCCATTCGGACCACATCATTAGCATCCTCGGAAAGCATTCTCGGCGGCCTCATGCGGTCCGGTGCCAGCACGACACCCAGTGCTGCGGCCCCCAGCACGAAATCGAACGCCCCTCCGCCGCCGCATCCCATCGGTGTTCCCCCGACCCTGCCGTCAGTTCACCAGCTCTCGGGCGGCTCTCTTCACCCGCCCTACACTCCCGGAACTGCCACGTCGTCCGCGACCATCATGGAGCGCGAATCTCTGCCGTCGAGCGACTCTGTCGCCGGCACCCCGCGGGCTGCCCACGCCCAGCTGCCATCACAGGCGCCCGCCAGCAGCGCCAATCTGTCCAATGCAGCCACTGCAGTCCCTGCTGTGCCCGGCCAGGGCCAGAAGCGCGCGTACCGACAACGGAGAAAGGACCCAAGCTGCGATGCCTGCCGCGAGAGGAAGGTCAAGTGCGATGCCACCGAGACGACTAGCTGTTCCGAGTGCTCGAGCCGGAGCGTAAAGTGCCAGTTCACCAAGGAGACCAACCGTCGCATGTCAAGCATCAAGCAGGTGCAGGATCTGGAGAAGCAGATGGAACGTATTCGTCGCGAGAATAACAGCCTGCGCCGCATGCTACAGGAGCGGGACGGCCGCCAGTTCGACATGGACATCGACGGCGTCGAGCAGCTGCCCCTGCTGCTGCCCGAGATTGGTCAGCAGCCCAAGAAGAAGAAGCGCCCGGCTGGCAATTACGATCTGTCCCGCGCGAGGGCCAACCTGCATAACTTCTCGCGTGGTATTTGGAAAGCTCCTGTTCCCCATCGCGTGAACCCACCGGCTCCCGAGCTCCGCGACTACCAGCAGATGCTGCCCCCGCAGCAGAAGACTAACATTCTCACCGAGGCATACTATGTTCATGTCCACCCCATGGCCCCCATCCTGCATTGGGGCTCATTCATGCAAACCGTTGAGGCCATGTATCGTCCAGGCAGCCCGCTGCGTCTGCCCCAGGCCTTCCTGTCTGTGTTCTTTGGCGTCCTGACGCTGGGAAGCCTCTTCACGACCCACCAGGATATTGACCAGAACGGTCCCCTCGGCGCCCCTCAGCTGCTGGAGACGACACGTTCTCTGATCGATCCGTGGTGCAACGATTACGAGCTTGACCACGTCCGTGTTCTCGTGCTGATCACCATGGCTCTGAACGAGCTCAACCTAAAGTCGGCGGCTTGGACATGGCTCGGAAGTGCCATCCGGGTCGCTCAGGACCTTGGTCTCTACACCGAGTCCGCCGACCCGGCGCCTACGTCGTTCATTGAGGCCGAGATGCGCCGGAGGACCTGGTGGACCATCTACATCCTCGACCGCACACTGGCTATCGAGCTTGGCCGTCCCATGACCATCGACGATGCCGACTGCGATGTTTCTCTGCCGACAGCCGTGGACGACTGCCACATCACCGACCACCGTGGGCCCAGCCTGCCTCTGGGTGTCAGCCAGATCACCACCTCCCTCCTGTCCGTCATCCACATCGTGCGCTCGTACACGGCTCTGGCTAGGGCGCTTGCCTCGCCCGTCATTGCCCCGACCCGCCTGGCTACTTTCGATCAGCACTTCGCTGCCTGCCGCCGGACCTTCCCTCCGGCATGTGATTCCACTTCTCAGGCGCCTCTGGGCATTGCCTTCCTGAACTCGCTCGCCCATCTGCTCAACGCCCGCTTGATCCTCCATCGCCACAACCTCCTCCCCTCGTGCCCTGCCGACGTGCGTGCTGTTGCCATCGAACAGTGTACTCACACCGCCCTCGAGACCGTCTCGCTCGTGTCCCGCTGCCCCAGCCTTCTCGACGGCGCTACCTCGCTGCTCATCACCCACATCTTCCGTTGTGCCCTCTTCCTGCTCTTCACCGGCTACTTCGACCAGGCCGCCCAATGCATCCGCTTCCTCCTTCCCCTCCAGGACCGCCGCGACGTCGTCATTCCCTGCGCCCGCTTCCTTGCCTTCTTCATCCAGGCCCTCTCCGCTCGCCGTGCCGAGATCATCGCTTACCTGTCTCAGATCCAGTCCACAGGCCAGCCTTCGCCGTACGGCCCTCTTCCTCCGGCCCATCACCGCCCGTCTCCTGCTGAGGTGCACAGTGCCTTGCTGCGTGATGAGGAGCTGCTGGTCTACGTCAGCTGCGACCTACAGGCCAATGTTGAGACCGCCTGGGTCTGGGCCGGCGTCAGCGAACGTGAGATCCAGCATCATCAGCAGCTGACTCCTCCGCCCATCAGCCCCGGCGCTAAGAACAGCGCCTTCAGCCCCGAGGTTCGCACTGGCCTCAGCAATGACGAGAGATGGGAATGGGGTCCCGGTTCGACCAGCTGGGAAAGCCTGTTCAACTCGGTGCGTCGTCTGGCGACTGGCGAGGCCGATACCCCTCCGACTAGCACCAGCCATGTTCCCCCACCTCCCCCAGCTCATCACTACAACCATCACGCTCCGCCGCCGCCGCCGCCGCCGCCGCCACCGCCATCCGCCTCTCGGCCTCCTCAGCCATGGGCCGCTTCTTCGTCTGCTCCCCCGCCGCCTCCTCTTCCCCCGCTCATGCCCCCTCATCAACAACAGCATCATCAGCCTCCTCCCCCGCCGTCTCAGCATCACCATCAACAGTCTGCTATTAAGATGGAGATCGCTCCTCCTCCTCCTCCTCCTCCTCCGCCGCCGCCGCCTATTCCATCGGCGTCTGCGACGCCGAGGCCGACGGGGAGTGGGTTGAGTTTGCCACCAGTGAGCAGCAGTCCGACTAAGGGGGGTTTTGGGGCATCGGTGAAGAATAAGAGGGACGAGAGGATTAGTATTGCAAACATTATTTAATCGTGGGATAATCCAGAGACATCATGGTGTTGACACATAAGGGAAGCGAAGCACAGAAATGATAGAGAGAGGGGATATGAGCATGAAGTAATACTTAATGTTGGGTTAGATAATGACGGAGATGATACCACTGGAGTAGAGAGGTGTTTGGGTTGGCAGTGATGAGCCTGACGAAAGGATTAACGGTTGTATCTTGTGGCGAGAGAGCTATACCTGACAGGATCTTTGACAGTAAGGATTTGGACCATCGGAGACGGTTTGTCAATTGGGTCGGCTGTTTGTTTTTGGGTGTACATCATTGGGAGTGTCCGTCTGTGGGTGTCGTGTGTATTTGTCAGGTATGGGACACGGTCGGGTTCGTGAGTTCTTTTTTTTTTTTTTTTTTTGGTTGATTGATCATTGCATTGGTGATCAGTACACATGTTAGGTAATGTTGGTTAGCATGAATATTGGTGGGTATAAACGGATGATGGGTTGGATGGATGCGTGGCCGGGTTGAGATACCAAAGAGATGATAAGTTCTTTATCAGATTTATGATTTATGGACGTTTTGGTTACCTACACAATCGTTTTTTTCTTTTTTTGGGGGGGTTGATATTCTATGATGAACAGTGGCTCTGGTTGCCACATTGCACACCTGACGGCTTTTTTATTTGAATTCTTGAGATGATGTGAATATATATTGAGTAATGGTGTATAAAATGGATGCCTATACATGTACTGAATGTGACGATCAAGACAGGCCTCCTGAAATGAGTTCGAGGGGTGCGAGGCCGCTGATCTGAGAAGACAGGAGTTCTCACACGGTTAGAATGATCGCTGTGATCACCAGTTGAGCAGGCAAACTGTCTGTATTGCTGACTGGGGAGCTTCTTGGGCTAGATGGCCCTGCCTGGAATCTGTCTACATCTTACTGCATCTTAATATACCCCTGTGGCTTCCTTTGTTCCGTTGAGAATCAACATCCTTGGGTGTTAAGGATCAATTCCTCTTAGCGTTAAGGAACGCATGCCCGATGCGTGGGGTCGTTGGAAACAGATACCTAGGCTTGATGGTTCACCACTCCCTTTTACTCTGATCAGTTGGCTGCACGGGACCCACTCTTCCAGATAGAGCTCTTGTTGGTCATGACACTGAGAGTTAATGCAATAAGATCTTCCCACTTAGAACTCTGTGATAGCCATATCCCTCCTTGTGGTGAGTTGGTCAATGGAAACATGGATAACAGCTCTTCCAGAGGGAGTGAAACAGATTCGTAATAAAGAATAAGAAGAAGAATAAGAGGGGGAGGAGCAGGAGGAGGAGGAAACCATCTTTCCTTTCATCCCTGTCCCAACCCTCTTTCTAAATGGTTCAACACCAAAGGGTCACTAAGACTGATGTTTGTAAAAAGGGGCTTACTAAGTACGTAGGTACTATATAAATTTAAATAGATAGTATGAATGGGATATAAACAAATATCAAAACCTGGAAGTGAATACCAAAAGTCTATTGCTCCCTTCAATCTTACTTTTATACAGTACTTTGCTCTCCCAACCAGCATCACGTTCCGGTCTGCTCTGACACTTTCACTTATTTGAACTCCAACCCCCCCCCCCGGCCGCGCCCTCGCCCCCCGATACTCGACATCCGTCCACTCGCTCAACTCATCGAGTCAAGCTCAATCCCCCATAAACAGGCACAATCTCAAAATTATCCAACCACACTTCTATCTCCCCGCCATTTGGCTTCACCTCAATATACACATGAATCTCATTCTCCGACTCATCGTGTGAGCAAGCGAACAGCGTGCTGACCCGCTGCCATCCCTCGGGAATCTCGTCGCCTGTTTGCCAGATGAGAAGTGTCGCGCCGCTGTCGGTTGTGATGCTCATGAGGATGCCGGGGTCTGTATGCGAGGCGTTTTCAGGGAGAGTGGGCTGCAAGGAGTAGGAGGCCAGAAGGCGGTATACTTGACCGGGTATGCTGTTTGATTTATTTTTTTTCTCGGTTAGCTCAGGCCTACACTGCCCTCGAGTCGACAACGAGAAGAAAGATGAAGAAGAGATCAAAAGTGTGTATAAAAGGATAAAAACACGAAATCGTACCAGTAATATCCATACCGCAAACTGACCATCCCCGTCTGGTAATGGGGCGGCATGGTCTTCACCTTTGCCACGGCCATCTCATTGCCGCCGTCTGGCGCCGTGCTCGCCTTCTTGGTTAAAAAAGTGTCGCCAGTGTTCACCGTCCAGAAGCGGAACCAGTTCTCTTCGAAGTCCAGGTTGGGGTTATCCGTGCGCTTGGGGTTGACAGTGGCTGTTGTTGTCATCGATGTGACTGTGTCGGTAGTGGTTGCTGTGACGGTGACATCTGTGGGCGCAGCGGTCTCGGTGATGGTGATGACCACAGCAGTGGGGGTTGTGGGCGTGAGGCCGATGCAGGTGCAGGCTTGGGTGAATTCCTCCGCGCTATCGCTGTCAACAGTGAGGGAAGCTAGACACGAAGGAGGACGGGTACGACACGCCCGCTTGGCCTTCCTTCTTCTCTTGTGGAGGAAGACATCTTCGACGCCGACACTTTTCTTCTGTTCACCTTCATCATGGGTTGTCACCGTCGTCCATACCGTTTCAGTTTCCTCAGCGATCCATTCTCTGATGGTCCTGTTTACCAGAGAGGAAAAAGAAAAGAACAAAAACATGGTCAGCGGGTATCACGTCCTCGGAGTCAAAGGTACATACACAGTCGGCGTGATGATGACCGTGCTGGTCTTGGTCAGGGCAGAGATCTCATCGGTGAGGACGTGAGCTGTGCAAAATGAGGATGCGGCGGAGAGAGAGTGGGTGAAGCAGTCGTAGATGGCGTTTTTGGCGCATTCGGGCTCAACCGCGGCGAGAGCAGCTGCAGTGCCGGCGAAGAGGACGGTCGGGAGGGTGTTGAGACGCATTTTGAGGGCGAGGGCTTATGCTCGACGGCACTCAAACGGTCAGTTAAGTTGAGGAGGACGAGGGAAGTGATACTCAGATATAAAGGCCATCATGATTTCATGATTATCCACTCAGTCAGGGGAAACAAATGTGAAACGGTCTGGATATTGAGATCATCGCCGTTGGGAAACAGGTTGTGGTGGGCGCCGAGCAAGACGCAAAGTCCTACAGTCATGATTTGCATACTCAGGAGGGCATACATGACTTCGAAAACCAATCTTTTTCTGAACACGAAGTGGGACATATCAGCTCATCTCATTGCTGCAAGGGCAGGCAAAATTGCATGAGCTTGGAGCAGAAAGGACATCAAGCCATGCGCAGATGTCATAGTCATCGTAAGCTGGCATCATCATCGGCTGGAAATTTGGGAGTTGTCATACATTCACATTCGCACCTTATTGTAGCTGCTAAACGAACACCAACTGATTGTACAAGCGATGATACATGTCATTGTCTTAGTTATGAGGTTGATATGCCAACAAAGCCAACTAACCATAAGCAAGCTAGTGTTGCCAAGGGCCACCGACATCTTAGTGGAGTTGATTAAGGGTGAAGAAGCGAAAGTGTTTTTGGCTCCTTGAGGAAAAAGGGACCTAAGTTCGGCAGACGAATTTTAAGACACCAGATGCAGGGTCTCTGAAGAGAGAAAGATCAATCACAGAAGTTCAAGCTGTTGATTCCTATCGTCCAGGGTTGTTCATAAATGCGCTTGATAAGTGAGAATGGTTTCTAGAGTAGAAAGCATGAGTTAGTTTGACTAAGACGAACTAGTTCAACCCCGGCTAACTAAGAGACTCTGCTTGCCTGCAGCAAGCAGCAAGCAATGACCAGGGCAGGGGATTGATGCGGCGATTATGGACCTCTCCGAAGGACAGGTTATGTTAGCAGTCAAGTACAATCTCGAAGGCACAGTGAATTGACGAGAAAGTCAACATAATGCATGAGAAATTGCACCACTTGGTAAAAGTTTCCAAAAATACATGAGAACCAGTTTGAAGTTGCTATCAAGGAAAGAATAGGACGAAGTCGGAGCGGCTCTTCAGATCTGCTGCGAAACACCAAGTCAGCCCCGCTATGTGCATAGCATATCGTCTTACGTAAGTGGTGCCCAATTGCCTCTGCATCTAAGCCCTTCTTGGTATTTCAAGGGGTCATCATCTCGACGACGAGAAGACGACAAGCAGCGTGATGCTTTTGAAGTCTTCATACCAGAAGATGAAGACTTTAAAATAAACTATGGACGGAGCCCTCACTCTCTCCCGAAGTTTCCGGCTCTCGCTCGCCTTTAATTAATTCCCTCCATCAAGTGTAGCACAAAACACATTCCCATCTGCGTATCGCGCGCCTGACCCATCCACGTCCCATTCAGGCAGGTCGCATTATACAAACGGGTCCTCTGGGCACTCTGTCTCCGCAGCATCACGCACTACGGCGCTTGCCGGAACGGATGCGCCTCCCGTATCGAGAAGCTTGTAGGCGTGTAGCAGGGCGCGATCGAAGGGCCAAAATGCGCAGCGCGAGATCAGCCAGATCGGTGGATTTTGATGGCATGTGTACCTGCGTCTTTCGGTGCAACGATGTTACAGAGGGACTGTGGGAGCTGCGGGAATCAGGCTAGGGCGCGCGCCGATGAGATGGATTGCTATGCGCCATGGTAAGTGTGGTAGTATCTCATTGTCTTGGTCGTAAGTGCGCACGAGGAGAGGTGATATCTGGGTGTTTGGGAGGTAGTATTTGTAGAAGGATCAATGGCATCGATGTCCTGGAGGGTTTGTTCTTGTCTACCTACCTCTTGCATTCCTCTCGCTCGTTGTGAAAAGGTGTGCTAGGTCTGCGGGTTGCCAACAGCGTTATTGTAGTCGACAATCTACAACTCCCGCCAGCCAACTCGTCCATTTTCATCAGACCTCCGAGCCCTGTCAAAGTCAGCAACCAACCACCAAAATGAAGCTCATCGCCGCCCTCCTCTCCCTCATCGCCCTCGCCTCGGCCGACCCGGCATTCATCCGCCCCTTCGGGCCCTGTTATCCCAATGTCTGTAATATTGCCGTTTCCATGAACCGGCTCGGCGTGCCTGCATCCAAGGTGCGCTCATCGCACTGCGCCAGCTTCCTACGCACAACCGTCACTCCTGCTGCGACGTAAGCTCCCCTCCACCACTAAGGGAAGGCGTCAGATGCTGACATAGCCGCAGGACTGTGACCGAGACCGTCACCGTCACTTTCGATGATGAGTCCCCGACCACAACCCCTGTGTCCTCGTCCAAGGTCTCTAGTGCCGCCCCCGTGACCATCACCCCGACATCCATCCCCAATTATGCGCGCGCATGCCTCAAGGCAAAGGAGTACGCCACCGCCTGCTCATGTTTTGGTGTTACTGGTACCGTAACGACGGTACCGACACCCACGGTCACTGTCACCAGTACGTTGATGGTATTTGATGGGAAGGATGATGACGATGGGGATGACTGGGATAGTGAGGAGGAGTGTGAGCTGTGAGAAGTCAGGAAGAGGAGTTCAACGGCTGATCTTGAGATAAGGCTCAAGGCTGAAGGGTTCAGTGAACCTCTTTATGAAACATGAGAGCACTGGCTCCCTTTAGTTGGCCATGTGATGGTCTTGGAAAAGAGGAGGATGAACCTTTAGATGCATGTAATGTTTTAATGTCCTACATCTGTATTAATATATCCTTTAATGAAGCTTCTAAGGAAATGGTCGGATGAGATCTCTCTGTTAAAGCAACTTGGTGATGCTCCTTACCCCTGGCTCAAAGGCGTAGTCGGTCATCTGAAGCTCCCACCTTCCACCATCCACCTCAACTGCAGGCATCAGCAACCTTATCACCACTTATCACTTCGATCCTGCCTACCCTAGGCCTGGGGATACTGCTGCCCAGCCCGCTGCCGTCACGTGCATGAGCGTGCGGACTGCAGACGCGCACAGACCCCTTTCCCAGAATATAAACCCTCGTAGAACCAGCCAAAACTTCCTCTTTTTTTTCTTTATACTTACCTTGATTGACTGCTGGGGGATCAAGAAGCCCAGGCAGTATGGTAGAGGACCTGAATTGCACAGCGCGGAGTCAGCTGCCATGAATTGCCCTTCGGGGCTGTTCCCATCATAATTTCTGATGGCTTCTTTCCCATTCTAAAATCGGATATGGAGGTTGTTTTTTCACTCTTTTTCATTGTGCGCCCGGATTTTGGTCGAGCCATGGAGAAGAAGAATGGACATGAGACTGTGGTAATCCATAGCATGGTTGCTGGTTGAATGCCTGGACCACGGCACTGGTGCACTGGTGGTGCAATTCCTCACTGCAGGAATCACATGAAGTTGAGCTGATGAGGGCTGGCGTTGCACCGGCTGTAGCTCCGCCTCAGCGCCGCCGAGCTTCATTTATTTAGTCCTGCATGCGGAAATGCAGCCCTAGATAAGATATTACCAAGATGTGATTGCAGATTCCTCCCTTGCATACCTTTCTTGTGCAAATAACCCTGTTTTCAATCGAACAAAATAGAAGCAAAATGTGAAATGCTACTCTTGACACATTTTGTGCAATGCTCCAGGATATCGTCGGTCAAGATCCGAGCTCCAAGCTCCAATAATGGCGCTTTGCGGGGCCCCACATCCCCCACACTGCAACGGCGCTGCCAAAACCCGAACCCCCGCCCCCCTGGGACTTTCACATGTCAGACGTCGAAATGTCGCGCTCGCCAGGCGTCAGGGATAGTGCGTCTCGAAGCACCCAAGCACCGCCCAGACACCGCAGCTCCCAGCCTGCCGTACGCCAATGCTGCTGCCCCCGTGACGCCACGATGCCTGTCATTGTCAGATTCTTCTGTACCGGCTCTCGGGTCCGTCGGGTCCGTCCTTGGCCCTGGGCTATTGACCATGGCATGGCCGCTTGACCTTTTGTTGCTTAGATGCCGGCTTTCATTTTGTTGTTGGCTGACCTGTGTCTGACTGCTTAGCCGATCTTCTTCTTTTCTTTTCTTTTTCTTCTGCCAGTATCCTTTTCTATAGAATTTCCCCCCCCCCCCCAAAATCATCCACAGTCTCTTTTCCTCCTCTCTCCCTCCTCGTCCATCGTGCTGCCGTGTCCTGTCCTGTCCTCGTCGAACCCTAGAGTAGCCCTTGCGATACTGGCCAGTCTCGGCCAGGCTGCCCGTCAAGATGATCGACCACGTGCTAGGCCGGCCGTCGATGAGATGGCGGAAGTATCAGGTCTTGGGAATCATTGCCTTTTGGGCGGCATATCTTAGAGTGTACGTTGACGTCCGTAAGAAATCCACAAAGGCATGGCTGATTGGCTAACCTGAGATACAGAGCCCCTAGGCATGGTTTCTTCCTGCGCGGCGTCTGGAGGTACTTGTCCAAACGCATGTCTGTCCACCAGACCTTCGTTTTGACCTTGATCATCCACTATGCCTGTCGCAACTTGAGTACCCTGTTGGGTCTCGCAAGTCCCGACCCTCTCTCCAACATGTATGAGGCCTCGTACTTCCGCGCGACCTGGATCCTGACCGCCCTCGACGCCGGCTTCTGGACCGCCATGAAAGTCCGCTGGCGGCCCCTGCGCGAGGTCACCAGCGTCATCTTCTCCATCTTCTACCTCTTCGCCGCTGAGCTGGCCGATGAGAAGGTGCGCAAGGTGCGCGGCAGAATCACCGTCGAGCACATGCGCGTCAGCTGGAACAAGGGCGCCGCATCGCCCATCCTCAGGACCTTCCAGGCAATCATCCGTCGTCTGAGGGGTCGTGCTATGAGCTATCGTCCTGTTCCCATCTTGATCTCCCGCCCGCCTGAGAGCAAGTACTCGGACAAGATCAAGGCGTGGTTGTATTTTGACGGGCCCAAGGAGGAGTTGCTTCACCAGAAGAATGTTATCTTGGATATTCCTGGCGGTGGCTTCGTGGCCATGACGCCGAGGTGCAACGACGACAGACTCGAGATGTGGGCGAAAGACTTGAAGATCCCCATCCTGAGTTTGGAGTACAAGAAGGCTCCCGAATATCCGTATCCGTATGCCCTCAACGAGTGCTATGATGCCTACTCGACGCTCATCCAGACCAAGGGTCGCTGCATCGGATTGTCTGGGGATAGTGTCCCCAACGTGATCCTCACTGGCGACAGCGCCGGCGGGAATTTGGCCACGGCAACGACTTTGATGATCATCGAGAGCGGGTCCGGACCTCTGGGCCGTCTGAAGGAGAGTCACGATCTGCCCATCCCTGACGGTCTTATTCTCTTCTACCCCGCTCTCGACATGAACATCAGCAGCTGGATGTCCGAAGAGCAGCTGGCCCTGATTAAGGACCGCCGCTTGCGGAAGGAGAATAAGCTTATCATCGAGACCAAGGCCACGCAGTACCCGACGATCGCCAACACTCCAGAGAAGGTTAGCAGCCCCGTGCAGTCCGACACCGAAGCCGATACCACCACGCCTGCCCCCATTCGCTCCGACTCAACCCCCACCAACGAACAGGCTACCAAGCCGGCGCCCAAGTACGCGACCACCGCGCCGACCAAGTTCAAGGGCATCACGCAAGGCCCGCCGCGCTCGACGGACGAGACTATCAGCGAGGCGACTGCGCGGCTGCGGGCCCTTAAGCAAGCCCAAGCCAGCAACCACTACGGCACGACGCCGCAGCAGCGCCCGCTGCGCACCCAGCTCGCCATGTCATCCATCATCTCCTACTTCAACGACCGCATCTTGACGCCTGAAATGATGCGCGCCATGGTCATCCTCTACGTCGGCCCGCACAACAAGCCCGATTTCCAAAAGGACTATCTGCTCAGTCCGATTCTGGCACCCGATGCGCTGTTGGCCAAGTTCCCCAAGACGTATTTCATTACGGGAGAGCGCGATCCGCTTGTGGACGATACAGCTATTTTTGCGGGCAGATTGAGGAGGGTTAAAGCGGCCCAGATGGCGAGCAAGGGGCAACGGTTCGAGTACAGGGACAGCGATGCCAATACGCCGGGGTACGATCCGCGCGCGGTGAGTGAGATTTGGATCGTACCTGGTGTGAGTCACGGGTTTGGACAGTTCCCTGCGCTGTATGAGAACGCGTATAAGTTTTTGGAGCAGGCGGAAGGATATATGAGGAAGTTGTTTGCCGAGGCTGAGAAGCGCAAGGCGAGGGAGAGCGGGGAGAAGCAGTGGCTGGAGCGGATGCGTAGGCGGAGCAAGGAAGAGAGTGATGATGATGAACCGCACATGCTTGTGCTCAATGTCAAGAAGAACTCTAATATCAGGCTTCAGGATATTGAGGCTGCTAAGAGAGCCGCTGCTGTTGCTACTGCCGCTGCGACGGCTGCTTCTGGGGACAGCACGAAAAAGACGCCGACGAGAGCGACGAGGAGGAGGACCTCTTCTATGCCGGGAACGTACGCGTATCAATCTACGTCTTCCTCGGAGGCGGACGAGAGTGACGCTACGGCTCGGCCGAGGTCGGCTTCCGTGTTGGTGAAGGTTAATGGGAAGAAGGCTGATGGGCAGGAGAAGGACAAGAAGGATGAGCAGGACGGGGAGAAGCGAAAGCAGAAGGGTGGCGAGAACGGCGAGCAAAAGGTGGTTACTGCTGATGGAACTGGAAGTGACGGCTATGAGTCGGACAAGGAGGATAACCATTTTGATGTGGATGAGGTGTTGGCTAGGCAGCATAAGGTTGGGAGTGAAGTGGATCTGCTGGTCAGGAGGATGACGACTGTTGTGGCTCCGCTGACGGAGACGGAGGAGGAGGGAGAGGGGGAGAAGAGTGGGTGAGGTAGATACGAGGTTTCCTTTGTAGGCATTTGTGAGCGTAATATGAGCGACTTCTCAAGGCTACAGTGAAGTGTTTCGTATTAGAAAATGCATGTTTGTGATTGGTATCATAAAACATCCCTACCTACCCTTCCTCGTAGCTTCTACTGCATATCGGACAAATTTATGAGACAATAGAGGTCAGGATAAAGTAGGTACAATCACACCATTTTGATCCACGAAGCCGATGGCGATCGTTTCCCTTTTTTTTTTTTTTAGCCGATCTAAGGCCAAGCGGTTAACCATAATGATGCGACTATTGGAGCTTATTAGGATAAAATGACAGTTGTTAGAACATGGGTTATACTAAGATCCCAGAGCTGGCCTCGGTAAAAATTTTGTGCTATGGCTCGTGAATATATATGGTGTTGAGTTTGACTTTGGGGAAACAGACATATAGATAGAGTTGACTAGGAACATGAACCATAATGACCAAGAAACACAGCATGCTTAACCACAGTGATGAAGAGCAAAGATGCCTGTCTGGTGCATCTTCATACTCGAATTCCTTGACCAGATGGAGCATAACCATCCTTAATCATGGAAGCCTCAGGCAGAAAGGTTACGAGTAAGAACAACTCGATATAATAATATCGATAAGAGTTTACGGGTTCGTCCGAACTTGTTCGATGGCCGTCCTTCTTCCTCAGGGTACAGGCTCCATCTTTCCCACTTCCAACTTTACACTCTCACAACTGTAGTTGACTTTTCATTATTTTTAACTCCCGTTCTTCCTTTTTTTTTTTCCTTCATATCACGGCTTGCGAGGAGAGGCCATGACGACAGCATATCGAGGTGGGATAGCAACTATAACATATCTTACTTATTCTCTCAAGTTAAGCCCCATACACTATCACATCGGTGTTTCTTTTCCGTATTAGTCACTCTTCCAGAGACACGGTCCACTCGGGATCCGAGATATCGGGTCTCACTATACCATTGCTTCGACCACTTTTTGCCAAAATTACGCCGAAACCGTTGTCAATTGGGTCAGCCGCAGTATCCTTGGTGGAGGGCATCCTCCAAAAGCTTGGAGTAGTTGACCTTTGGCGATCGGTCTGCGCTGGAGGAAGTCCCGGCCAATTGGCTACTATGGTCGGTCGTGGCACATCTTACATGTATTGTTTCTTTTTTTTCCTGGTGAAATTCTTTGCTTCACCAAACCTATGGTTCATGTGATCCAGCAATCACCTCTAATAGAACCCGTTTTTTTTACCAACTAACACGCCAACTAACACTTGGCATTTGCAGATCAGAATACTTGAGTCAGCTGCCCAAAAATCTCAACAGAGTTTTCAATTTCAGCAACTTCATTTCCCAAAAAGTTTAGGGAAAGTCTCTAGTTGAACAAGTCAGTCGACGAGTCAATGATACCGTTTGCAACAACTCCTACATAGCAAGTCATCGGCATCACAAGCGCAGTGTAGCGCTGCTCTAACAGGTCGTTTCTAGATTCGTTGGTCAGCGGCCAACTCATCTTTCGCGTGACTTCATGATATTCTTCTCAGCACTCCAATTTCTGACTGAGCTGGCTGGAGCCCTTCTTTGCCGGGTCAAAAGACGCACCAAACGATTAGCAGTGTCTTTTAACAGGCCACAACGAGACAGTCGTGTTTCACCCCGACGACACAGCAAGTTTCACAAGTCACAATCACAGTATACAAGCCAACACATTCCATACCTGCTACTCCTAGCATTTCACTTATCGACAATCCTCCTTCAAAAGCTTGTAGGAGAACTTAACCACGTCACTCCCAGTTGGTAAGGCTGATCTCGTTAAACAGGATATAGAGTCGTGACCCAACAGTTTGGGGAACGCCTTTCAAGTATTGAATGAGCCAGCTGCCAGGCCAGTCGGCTGGCTGAACCTATTGCAACAAAACTTTCACTTTTTCAACATTAATATAGGGGAGTCCTTCTACACTTCCCGGCAAACTCCTTGTTTCACATAGCATCTTTTTCTTACTCCACAACCACCAAAACCAGCTCTTACAGCTGCAGATACGATGTCATCACCGTTCTTTAGTTCTAGACTCGGCTCTTCCAACATGTCGGCGAGAAGTCGCAAGAGCCGTTATGATAACCGAAGCAGTCGGCGTCTCGATGAGAAAGGCGAGGATTCCAAGGGTGAGTAAATTTAGTTCTTTTGTTTTCTTTTACATTGTAATACACGAATCCCTCTCCTTTGGTTCGTATGCATTGGGTATTCGAGTCAAGTTTGTCTTGCTACAGAAATAGTTGGTCCGTTGGCAGTCGATATCAAAGAATTCCAGTTGCTTTGAACCCTTTGCACGGATGTGGCTTGGGCACAGCCACCGAGCAAAGCATGTTGTTTCTACTTTATTCTGAGCTTTTTTGTGCTACATCTGTATACAGCTTCGCTAACTTGTCATTTAACCGATAGTGACGACCCGGCTTAGCAAAGAGGAACCGAGCATCATCAGGGGTACTACTCTGAATAATGCTCACAGCAATGGTGATAAAGAACTCACTTCCTCCATGGCCACAGATGGTAAGTTCCTAATCATTCATTACCTAGCAACTTTCGTGAGTCTTGGTGAACATGATCTCTGGCTAACCATGACTTGCATGTATGATGTGAGCACAGCAAGCAGCAGCTTGCATGCTACCAATTGGTATGATGATTACAGGTTCTGCTCGCAGTTTCCCGAGACGAGCATCGCCTCGACCAACCGCTCTCATCTTTTTGAAGATGAGAACGGACCCGACAAGCAGGTGAACAGTGTGCGCGTGACGCCGTCAACACTCCGCGCCTATGTTGCTATGCGCGGGGGTGTTAATGGCGTGGAGTTTGATGAAAAAGAGCCCCTTCTGGCATATTTGAGGAAGAACCACAAGTTCATGTAAGCTCATCTTATATGTGCTGTCCTTATTGTTCAGGACACTCCTAACACCCTTACCTCAGGGTTTTGCAAGATATTGCTGACGGTCTGAGAAGCGATACTTCATTCATTGAAAACGAGCGTCAACCAAAGATTTGGTACTATGATGTCAAGAGCAATGGGCAACAATCCAAAAACCAGACTCACCAGTCATCTTACGACCTCGATCATGCCACACGACGAATCTCGCTCTCCAGCTGGCAAGACATCAACTCCTCCAAGTTTTATACTGGCACCATCACTGGCGATAACGACAGCAGTGATGGCTGGGTCTCAGATGGCGAGGGTAATCCTGCCCTGAACCACATCACTCCTGAAATCTTTGCCCAGTGGGCAGACGGGTGCGTGATGAGGGGTGGTGATTTTCTGTCTGCCCGTCGGAAGGACATCGGCACGGCTGCTGCGGAGCAACAGGACAGCAACGCTAAATCAGAAGAGAAAAAGGACAAAGGGAAGAGGGTGATGACCACGACGACGGCCAGCGGAAGGAGGGTACTGATGAAGCGTCGGAGACCAGGCTCTAGGGGAGCGATGCAGATGCTTCCGATTGCAATTCCGCAGAGGTCGTCGTCGGAGAGGGGGACTCGGACCAACAAGGTTGGGTTGATGGAGGGACTTAGGGTGAGTAACAGTTTTTGTTTCTTTCAAAAGGGTCGGAAGTGGAAGGAGAAGCAGGGTGTGATGATTCTGTTTGATGCGATTGGAGACTAACCCTAGCAGATCTCATCACAGCCCATGGCTACACCAGCTGGACCAACCCATGACACACTGGTCGAAGCATCCTCCTACAAAGCAACACCGCCTCCAGCATATGATGCACACGTGCCACTTGAAGCCGGCCCCTCAGGGCTACCTTCAATGGAGGTATCCTTTTCCAGAGCAGCTTCAATTGATTTCCGGTCTCGCAACAGCACCGACGAGTCAGACGTCGACAACCTCGTTGTTACACTTCAGCAAGCAATGAACACTCTTGATGAGATTCTGGAGCTATGCGCGCAGAGAAAGCAGTTGATACAGGAGAATGAGCAGTTGCGGGAGGAGATTGAGGCGATAAATCGGGGGCAGGGGAGGATTGAGGAGGTGGAGAGGTAAGAACTCTCTTTTAAGAACTCTCTTCTTATATTGATGCTACCCCATCGCTACTTATTCGGCATCGTGCTGAGTGGGATGAAGACAGATGGGCTAACTTGGTGTTGTGAATAGGGCGCTTAATGTTAGCAGGCCTCCTCCCGCTGTTTTGAATCCTCCTCGTCACGCGCGGTCCTTTTTGATGCATCGCGGGGGTGTGAAGGAGCAGGATGGGGAGATTTTGGAGAGATTGGCGAAGAGGAATTGATGCCAGAGAGCCTATGAGGCAGGCATCTCTGTTCTTCTAATTAATCTGTGAGAGGCTCGCTTCAGCAAAGGTTTGCGCTGATGTTTTCGAGCTGGGGCTCTGAGAGAGCAGAGTTTGGGGGAAGGGGAGAGCAACAGGAGACGACTTGGCACATTTAAACTGTGGATGATATAGAAAAGGTTGAGGGATAGATGGGATTGCTTGATAGAACGACGCTGATACCCTGGGATTGGCTGCTGGAGTTAAAGGTATAGAGCTGACTATGTGGCTTGCTAATGATATTACGATAATTAAAAAGCTTGGTGTGGTTCATCGGTGTTAGATTGCTTTTAGAACAGTCTTGAGAGCTCAAAAGTAAGATGGCTGACACTAATGAGACTCTCAGAAGTGACATTGAAGCTTCCTGAACTGTGGGCTCAATGACAACAAAAAAACGGTAAACGGATGGGAGATGGGACAACAAATGGCCCAGGAAGATTGATCGGCAGTGTAGCATAACCCTAACCCTCTGGTTACCATTGGGCAGAATTCAGTCCCAGTAATCTGGGAATTCTCCGATTGGCTCTCGTTGTGGGTCCACCTCTTAATTCCAACGTCATATCACAAGCACGCGTATGAAGCTGCGGAAAAAGCAGCCATTCAACTTTCAACCTCTGCAAGGCTGCAGCTCCGGATCTCCAACGCCTTGGGCTGATCGCGGCTTCTTGGTCTGCGGGCCATCCATCCCGCCCCCAACGGTCTTGATGTGACTGCGACGGCTGCGATGATAAACATGATGTGAAGCTTCAGGGGGAATGCCTGAGCTTGTTGTCGCCTGCTGGTACCCATTATCATCAATCCTATCTCTCAATCTCTGGCGTCTCGCCGTGCCATTCGTTTAGTATAGCCCGTCATCACACATCACTGCCATCAACCCCAACTCATCGTCTTCATCTTCAGCAGCCTTGTAGCCTTGCCCCACTCCCCTGCTATCAAAATGGCCCACCAAACTTCCGTCCTCCGAGCCCTCTCTCTCATCATCTACAACTTCTCCTTCTACTTCCTCTACCTGATCCTTTTCTCCTTCCTCGTCATAACCCCCCTTGATCTAATCTTGCAAGCCTCCGATCACCATCGCAAAGCCGACATCTTCGTCATCGTCTTGGGCTATGCCGTCACCGTCGTCATCATCACCTTTATCTATGCCGCGCGTCTGTACATCCACCGCTCCGTACTCGCGTCTATCCCCAAGGGTTGGGTCCCGGTCGAGAAAGGGGATGTGCCAGATGAGGTGAGGGATGTGATTGCGCAAGATTTGGGGAGGAGTGCTGCGATTGCGTGGGAGGCGAGGCCGAGGGTTGAGCATTTCAAGGAGGGAATAAGGAAGAGCGCGCACCAGCAACAGCCATCGCCGTCCATGTATACGCCCAACGATGATGTTTCTCAGGATGTGAACCCAAACCCCGCGACCGTCACACTCCATCCCGCGACCAGGCCACTCCATCAGCTGTGGGCACACATCCAGCACCCCGGCTGGTCCCCCCCAATCCCTCTGCCTTCAACCCTCGACGCCCCGGCTACCCCCGACCCGTTGTTGCGTCCGAATTTGAACTACGAAACCGTCATTGCTGAGCTTCCTGCTCTGATTGAGGCCAAGGCGCTGACGCTGCTCTCACAAACCTCCTCCTCATCGCATGGTGATGGCGATGGGCACGAGCATGAGGGGGTCAATCCCGCCATGGCAGCCCCGTTACTCCAACGCCCTGAAGCGATGACATTACGAGAGTACTTAGGGAGGCTGGTCGAGTTGGGCGTTCTGGACTCGGACGCCGTGACCGTTACCAACCACCCAGATGATGGGGTTGACGAAGGAGAAGATGTGCTGACCTCGTTCCTGCACCGCTGGGAAGCAGCGCGTTTCGGACCCCGTCCTGTCACGGCGGCTGAGTTCAAAACGCTCATGCGGGCTTTTGCCGGGGTGTTAAGGGCTATGAGGGGAGTTCCAGCGGAGGAGTTGTTGGAGAGGGGGTTTGGGGATGACGATGAGGACGATGAAGAGGAGGGTGTGACCGACTATGAGGAGGATGAGGACCAGCAGCAGGGAGAGGAGCAGCCGCAAGAGGGAAGCGACGAACCGGAAGAAAGCGAAGGGAACATCGACAGCGATGCCCCCAGAGGAACAAGCGTATCCAGCGATGCCGCCGAGCGTGATCCCCAGTCCCAAAGGGAGCTGCGGAACAGTGGCACGACAAAATCGACCTGGAGCAGGAAGTTCCGCAGAAGAAGTGTGTCCAGCGGGAGCACGACGTTTAGTTCCAGCTCCAGTGTTTCTTCCATGGATTCAGGTTCAAGTACCAGTACTCAACAGCAACAACCCTTGAATCGGCATTATTCGACGCTACAGCAAAATAAGAAAAAGAAGCAGAGGAGGAAGAGGAGGAGAAGGAGTAGCGAGGAGAGATATCGTACTGCGCCGACTACGCCCCGAAGCAGACGGACGGTTGTCTCACAGGCATCAATCCCTTCTTTGTTATCACTCTCCCCGTCTGCAACGAGACGGCAGGGAAACAACCTCCCCCGTCAACAGCAAGATGATAATGATGATATCTCCCTAAGAGGAGGAGATTCTTTCGCCCAGACCCGACAACCATACAACCTCTCGTCTACATCCAGTAGTAACGAGCTCCATGTCTCAGCACAAGATCATGAGCACGATAAAGTTTCAGCATCAACGCATTGGACGACCCGCACGGGAAGCAGTAAAACCTTCGGCCGTAGTCACACCCTCCCGTACTACGATCCATCAACTCATAGGAGTGAGATTACGAATTATCCCCCTTCTGTTATCGTCACTGGGACTGATATCGGAGCCGGGCCAAGTAGTAATACTAGGGGTTTAGTCCCAAGGCTGGGGATTAAAAAGTCTTACTCCTCATTGTCGTTACGGTCGACATCGGGATCAATCATAAGGCTTGCAGAACGGGATGAGGAGCAGGCGACGGGGTTACCTTATGTGCTAACTTAGTGTTGGGATTGGATTCTGAGAATAATAGAGGCGTTTGGGGTTGCTCGAAAACGATGACTTCTTATCTCCTACGTTAGATAGCTTCCTACCTTCCTACTTATGCATAATCATAACGCAGTTTTAATGCTAATGTTTTGTTGGTTTGCTGGGTGTTCAGCTTTTAGGAATATAGGTCTGTCTTACGAATCCAAACAGCATTGACCCAAGTAGCGCAGGGACGTAATACAGATAGCATTGAAACGGATTCCTGAGAGGGGAAACAACTTCTCAGAAGCTCCGAGGAGACCCCGCCGGTCAGCTGGCCCTTCGGTTGATTCTTTTTTTTTCCTTTCTTTCTTTTCTTTTTTGCTCGAACTTATAATTGACTTTTTGTCCCAACTCTTGGGGGCAGGCAGTCAGCAACCCCCCAAACACAAGATGCCTCCAGTCTTTGTTATTTATCTATGTAATAGATAACCATGTCCATTATCCTGCCCTGGTCTTGAAATTCGGTTGGCATATCTCTAAATTGGAGGAGGCAATGAAATACCTACCGGTTTTGGCCTGTTGACCTAGAGTTAACCCGTCGGGCAGAAGAACTACCCGCAGCTGCTTTACACGCAACACAGCAACCACAAGCATACCAAGTTGAAGGGGAAAAAAATAAAAAATAAAGTCACGTTATGTTACGAACCCATTTTGCACTCCCATGTCTGGAGGGAAAGCTACCAAAGCATCTGAGATACAGAAACGAATACCTAACCCATCCATCCATTCAACATACCATAATGTTTTAAAGTGCGAAAAAGTATTTTGTACAAACCCGCACAACCCATCCCCAACTTTCAGTACGTAGGTATTAATCACCGAATCTGCACCATCTCCGGCATCACCTCCCTAACTTCGACCTCTTGTTCCAACCCCGCCACCTCCCTCGCCTTCTTCACCTCCCCCCTCGTCAGCCTCAAATCTCTCGCGTACGGCTCAAACGCCACGATAACCCTCTTCAACGCATGCTTCACCGCGTTGACCACTTCCTCAACCTCCTCGCACTTATCCTCCCCCTCCAGCTCCACCACATCCGTCCAGTGCTTACCCATACCGCCCTCGTTAACAAAGGCATTGAGTTTTTCCCCCAGGGAAGTAAGTTCCCTGATTAGAGACGCCACATCCCGCTGCACGTGACCATATCGATCCTCGCGGAGCGAGGACACCGCTAGGCCGGACACGGCGGATGCGGCGTTCACGTACAGCGATGGCTCACCATACGGCGAGCCGAGGACTGCGCTAGCCAGCCTGCGCCGACGCGTCTGTCGGAAGGGATACCCCGCCAGTGGCGAGGACAGGACATATTTCAGGGCGAGTTCGCGGAAGAAAGAGGATGGTGTGACCTCAATTTCGGCATTCGGGGCAGCTGCTTCGAGCAGGCGAGAACGAGCTGCGTGGAGGGTGCGTTTCGCGACGGGGCTGAGGGAGGCAGGCGGGCCGCCGGGGCCGGCGAGGGCTGCGTTTTGAAAGGCGGAGCTAACTGAGGTGCGGAAAGCGGACTTGTTTGAGGGGAGAGGGGCGAAGATATGGTCTTCTTTAGGCGGGGCGGAGGTGCGAGGCTTGTCTCCTAGGGCTGTCTCGGCCTGCTGGGGGGTAGTCGCTGGCGCTGGAGGAGCAGTATAAGCGTCGATGTTGGAAGAGAGGGTGTGCAGCGTGTCGAGGCAGATCTTGTAGACTTGGGACCACATGGGGCCGTCTTTGCGGTCCATGTCTTCGAAGATGGCCTTGCGGCGATCAGGGAAGTCGCGTGCGATGTAGGCGAGCTCCCACATGGCGAAGCACTAGAAAGTTAGCTTATT